TGATAGGCACGCAAAAAGTAGTGTCATATGAGACTGTGCGTGTATCCCACAATCCAGTGGGTAGCGAGAAATGGCCCATAATTCACTCAAAGATACAGAGCCGGAGCCATCACAGTGGCAGTCTCGTAGTTATATACTGCTGGATCATCGGGCATTGGTTACATACATTATGTATGATACACAGCATAGTACACAGCATAGTATGAACAACGTGTTTGCCATGTGTTCACATTGTGCGCGATCCCTGTCATTCCAAGCGCGCAATCCTCGCTGAGCAACGAACACATGTTCGAACAACTGATGATCTGAGATCGTCTAAAAGTGATCATTTCAGTACTTCAGGGGTGATCATCATGTCTGCACGCTTGGGCGTCTTGTCGACAATACTCGTGTGCGTTATAACCTTTGGTGAAGGTGTCTTGGACCGTACTCTGTTGAGGATATCTCATCGTGGAGCTCCCCTGGACATTCGTCTCGTACCGAAGATGCTGGCGCAGGCCACCGCTGCCTCTGATAGAGTGGTGTATCCTCTCAGCGTTGACGATCTTGAGTGCGAACGATGCTTCGCCCAGGATGGCGCGATCTTGGACTTGAAGGCTGTGGGCATCCAAATCGTGGAATCCACATGCTCGGTTGGTCACAGTCAAATTCTAGGCTACTTGCAAAAGGCTAAAACCATGCTTGACATCGATTTCGACTGCGATCCTGACTATGAGGTGTCCATAAGTCCACTCTTCGAACCGACTGTGGGAACGAATCCAGAATGTACCGGCGGTAACCAAGTTCTCTGGACGAACGACCCTGCCTCTTCTTGCCAGCGTAACCTCGAGCTCATTCGCCTCGGAAAGGCCTGGCGCGCGGCTTCGAGAGGCCACCTTCAAGATGCCGTCTTGGCTATCATCGATTCGGGAGTTGATATGACTCATCCGGATTTGGTCGGTCAGTTCTGGGAGAATCCAGAAGATGGTTCAATCGGCTACAACTTCATTACGAATACTACCGATGTTACTGATGACAATGGTCATGGTACTCACTGTGCTGGCAACGCGGCCGCTCATACTAACAATCGCATCGGCATCGCAGGGGTGGCGAATGCCAACTTCACAGTACCCTACGTGAAGTTGATGATATTGAAGTTCCTCGGTTCAGATGGACGTGGTTCTATCAGTAACGCAATTAGAGCCCTGAACTACGCGGTTGA